AATAATGTTTATATTACGATTATATTTTTCAATTTCATTATTTTTTCCTTGCTTTAAGGTACACCTTAAAAATACATTTTGTATCCATTGTAAGTGTAAACATTATGCGGGTATATCATAAACTCTTTTGCTTGATTTATAATTTGATACATTTTAGTATATAGTTATTTTGGGCTGGCGATCTGAGTGAGTTGTTGCCCCACATATTTTTATGGTGCCACTGGCGGTATTGCTGTGTACCGGGTTGTGCAGCTCCCTCAAAAATGGTTGAGCTGCATGAGCTATTCGGGGCATGCTTGCCGTCTGCTGGCACAGGCTTGCTCAGATCGATCTGGTTCTTTCTTCCAAAGACCAGTCCAGTAAATACTCTGCATTTGTTTACACCAATTTATTAATTTATTATTGTATTATCTGGACTATAAAAGAGACTAAGACCCCCGAGTTTGTTTCGACATTTCTTCTCAGGGCAGTCAGTTAGGAAATGTCGACTTCATCTAGTTTAGGATGACATTGTAAAAGTGATTTATATAGTCCTACTTGCAAGAATAAACTATTTCATTTCATTTCATTTCATTTTATCAATCCCATCAACATGGGTATCAAATGAAAGGTCTTAACAAGTAGAATACAATTTACTATGCAAAATTGTGACCAGACTTTTATTGATATTTTGAATGCTTTGAGAGTCGGTGAGCTAACAACCCAACATTTTAGTATTTTAATGGGAAGACTTCTTCAAGACACGAGTGATGAGTTTGCAATAGAAAAAGCGTTAAGGGTGTATACCCTTAACGCTTTTTCTATCGACGTTGAATTGACGTGCCCCACGGTTTTATTTTAGTCTAATCTATGCATATGTTTATAATTCCCACGACTGTATCTATTTTATTATTTTTTGGTTTTTAGTACATTTATCTTAAACATTGCAATGTATGTTTAACATAAAACCGTTTAACTTAAAAAGTTTTTTACCTATTTTTATTTAATTTGATATCACAAAGTAACGAAAAATAGTGTACAGGTGTGTTCTTTGTATTTCTAGTTAAATTGACGGCTTTTATAAACTGTCAGAAGCAACGTAAACGGACAACAAAGCTGTATTAATTAGGCTGTACGTAGAGTGTTAAATATATTATGATGTTATATATTATAATATTGAGGTTTTGTCGTACTGGCCGGTTTGACCTCAAATATCTCCTCCTTTGTTAGTAATTCCAAATTCAATTTATTGAGCTATTTACTCGTGCAGTTGTTTTTCGAAAACCATGATTAATTTCATTTTCTCACTTTAATTTTTTATCTCGTCACTCTATTTATATAATGGAAAATATGAAATATCACGTTATTTAGTACGAGTACGAGTACGAGTTCCACCGTGGCACCAGTGCAGCAGAAAAGGCTCGAAGGATTATTGATATGCATGGCGACGGTGACTAAGACTTAGTAGTGGCTGTCAATGACTTAGGTGTTCATTCAAAAGCTTCTAAGAATTTCGGATTTTTTTTTTGCGTGTGGCCAAAGTTTCTCAAATGTAAAAACGATAACAGCATCGTATAATGCACTTGTTAGAACTAATTGGAATGTATCCATGATTTGGGCCCCACAAGAAATGAAATACTCTCTAATAATAACGGAGCGAGTTCAAAATAATGGTAAAATGTATGATGGGATACAACCAGCTAGAGGGCTAAGAGAGGGTTGAAATCACACTTTATTTAATAAGATCTTTAAGAAGTAGGTTACATAATCCGGAAATATAGTAAATATTAGTAGATAATGTGGGGTAAATCTGGGATTGCCAAATAACCACACTCGACCTGGAAAGAGGTTTCAATTTCTAGCCGTTTACTAAGTGAAGCACCATTTACGCGCGTCTTTCGCTCCCTCAATACTACTGCATGTGAGACTGAGCTATTTTATTGCACACTGTCTGTATTCACCAGGATCGCATTATTCGTAATTTGTTATAAAAAGGTTCAGGTATTAAGTTTTCATATAACAAGGGGAAAACGGGCGGTAAATGTTAAGTAATACCGAAGCCCATGCACACTCACATTGCCAGACGGCTCGCAAGTGTGAAGCCGACTTTTTAAGAATTAGTACGCTCTGTTTCGACATCAACCAGTATTCGATTGCTAGTAGTTTGGAGTTTGTATTTAGCGGAAATTCATATTTTTATTGTCTGTAGTGTGTAGTTTCACAAGTTTTTTATTTTATTAATTGCAATATAAAAAAAAAAGGATGTTAAATAATTTTTTAATTTTAATTTTAGCAAAAGCTAATATTTAAAATATAATGCCAAGAACGGACTGCCCTAGTGCAACGGGATTTTGTACGCGATCCCAAGGTTGCGACGTCAGAGCTACGGCCTTTTAGAGAACTACATTGAAATTGCATACAAAAACGGTGGATCTTAATTGAAAGTTACAGAGTACGGGTATTAAATGAGATGTTTATGTAAATAAATTATGTTTCTTTTATCTATAAATAAAATGGAATTGTTTACATTTGAAAGTCGCTATTAGATTTATTTTCAAAAGAAAACAGCACAGAGGATGTAGGCGGAATCCATTAGAGATAAATAAAACATCTTTAAATCGGAATTATCCTTTATATTATAAATTCGCTAAGTTAAGTAAGCTATGTTTTGTTTTCAACAACAAAACATCCATCAAGAATAATTACGAATAATTTATAAACAGAAAAGTTACGTATATTATAATAAATAAACTTAAATCCAATTTCAAACACTATTTCATCATTAAAATGCCAGATTATCCCTGAGTAAGATAGGCTTTGTTAAATAATATCCAGCTGAGATTTCTAAGAAACTTTCATTGTAACAATTCGTCCGTACACTGAGAATATAAAAAAATTAAGAATTTAAAATGTCTTCGTTAAAAAAGCGCAAACAGAACTGATAAAACAGCTGTACCAATATACACCTTCTTTGCTGATGCTTCAACTTCTTTCATGGAAAGCATTTTGCACGCATTCCACATACAAAACCTTATGCCATTGAAATAGTGAAAAGCGAATGGAGCCCCGAGTGTTAGTTTAATAAGAAATATCATAGGTCTGGACAAATCAAGGCTTTGAATCACAGAGACATAAGTTTCGACGCCGTTGGAAAGAAATAGAGTACCACAAGATAGTACAAGGGCGTAAAATGTCAAGATCATACCTGAAAAAGAATATCAATGAATGCGGGTGACGTAGTTCACTTTTGATCTACATTACGGACTACCTAGGTGTAAAGAAACTAGAATTGTAATGGTATGTTATTATGGAAATGTCACAGATTCCAATGTATGAATTTAATCACTAGTTCCGATAATGTTGGGACGTATATGTGTGGTATGGTAAAAAATATATTTTTTATAAAAAATATATTAATATTTTTTGTATGATAATTAACTCGGGTTGTTTTGTCATTATCATAGAAAATTATATTGAAAATATGTTTTCAATGTATGTATATTGATTCGTATTAATAGGTATTTTATAAAATTGTGTGTGCGTAATCTGTCGTTGTGTATTAAAAATCCGTGTCATATTAATATTCCTACATAATTTTTAATAATATAATATGGATTAAAGCCAAGTAGCTTTATAAGTCTAATCATGAACCTGTGCCTACTAGAACACATTTTGAGCAATAAACTTCGTGCTGTTGAGATTAGATGCCTCCGAAACTTAAGACAATATTTCAATTTCTTTGTCGCTTAGAAATACATTCTTTTCAAGATTGTGTTTTGTTTATGTTTACGACTAATATAATATTGTTTACGCTATGTGGAAACGAGACATATGTTAAGGTAAACAAAGTATAAGAAATTTAAATTAAAACGGTGTAATTCGCAGATTTTTCTGTCTGAGCATTTGAAGTCGCAGAGTAAATATATTGAATACACCGGTTCTCGTCCGATCACCGAAGTTAAGCAACATCGGGTGAGGTCAGTATTTGGATGGGTGACCGCCTGGGAACACCTCGTAATGTTGTTTTTTTTTTCGCAGCGATAAGTGAAAATTATTTTTGGAATCACTTAACTAAATTAGTCGTAGTAAACGTACACCAGAATCCCTTTACAATAATAATTGCGGGGCCCCAGTTTCCTTGCATTTTTTTTCAATACAATACCTTTAAAAAATATTCATTATAATAAATAAAAAAATAATGTTTTAGGAAAATGTCATAAATTTCTGCGAATTCAAAAATTAGTGAACTAATATCACAACGAGAACAGCTTATATACAAGGAGATGAACCAGATGAGACTAAATTAAAACATCTGAACCACGAAATACAAAATATGCTTATTAATTGTGCCACTTAATTTATATTTTGGTTATTTTACTATTTAATCGCTGCGTAGCACAACGACATCATCCTTCTTCCTCTTTTAGATTCCTGGTCTCTTAAAACTTTAATAGACGATGAAATATAAGATTGGTGTCGAGAAAATCTAACATACTGTTATGATACCAATTAACATATAAGTTGTCACGACACCCTTTGCTATAGTAAGCTATTGTAAGCTGTGCGGCGTCGCATGTTTCTCTCTCTGTATCTCTCTCTCTCTCTTATAGAAAGCAAGCCAGATATTTTCATTTCTATTTCGCATTGAACAGTGTGGTGTGGCGACGATTATTTTTGTTGAGTGTATACAGGTTTTTTGTAAACAATAAATTATAAAAAATAATAATAATAATGAATCCTGACAGTGTTTCTGCACAAGTTCCGGATATTGCTGATGGAGTGAGGTAAGTAAAGATTATATACAGATAATAATAAATGCTTTTGTATTTTTAGCAAGTACGCACTATAACCTTAAAAAAAAAGTAATAATAATAATAAAAAAACTTGAGAGGTGTCAAGGGACACCCGGATGGAACGAAGTTCCTTTCGATTAATTAGTGAAGGAATTGTAATAAAATTTTATTTTTATTAAGTTATAATAATATTTTTTTTATTATTAACAAATATAATGTTATATAAACTTAATCAGTAGGCTCAATTTTCGTAATAATTGGCTTGTGGTAACTGAAGTAGGAAACATATGTTTGGGATTCTATTTTATTTAAATGTCTTGAAAAAACTGCATCAATAGTAGTATTATATTTTGTTGTTGATTCTGCTGGATTATTGTTAATTCTTAAATCAAATTCTTCCTCTAGAAACTGTAGCAATTGTTTTGATTTTTCATTACTGAAGTTGATGTTAAAATCACCGGCTAAAATGAGTGGAACTTTATCTAAATTTTTGTTGTATCTGCTAAGCGTTCGAGATACATCTTTAGAATACTCTAGCAGTGCTCGATGAATGAACTCCTGAATATCTATTAATATGTTATTTGGTGAGACATATATGACTGCCATGATTAAGGTAACACCGTTTTCCATTACACACTCTGCTACACATAAATCTGCAACACTTGTACGTCTTACGTGCAAGTCCTGAATATTGTTCATTATGACCGACATATTTGGTGTTACAAGATTGGTCGTATCATTTATGTTGTGATATATCGCAACTCCACCTGAACGAACAAAATCACGTTTAAAGTGGGTTATACAATTAAAATTCGGTATATTACATTCTTCTCGATTGTCCAACCATGTCTCTGATAATAACAAAATGTTCGTTTTTTCTGTAACAGAGTCTATTAAATCAACTGAATGCGAAGGCTTTGGACGTTGAACGTACACAATGAAATGCCTTTATCTCTAGTAATGAAATCAATGACAGATTTTGCCTTCGTTTCAAGCTTATTTAATGACAATCTCTGAAACTCTTGTACTAGAGATATTGTTGATGAAGCTTGTACTCGATTATGATGAAATCGAAATTTAGTTTCATCATCATCAAATGTAACGATAAATAAACCTTCCATGCTTGTTACACGAGAGAGAGCAACATAAACAAGTTGTTGTGGATGTATTTTGTCATACTCATAAACAATTTGATCAAATGTTCCACCTTGTGACTTATGAATAGTCATAGAACAAGCAGAAATTATGGGAAAGTGTTTACGTTTAACAGTAACTGCTTTATTCCTTATCATGGTTATGTTGGATGTTCGCCATTCAATGGGTACAGCAGCATTATTAACTTTGCTTTGGACAGCTAGTAAAGCAGCTTTTTTTCTTGCTTTTTGTCCAACCTTTGCTGATCCACAGAATTCGAGCCAAACTCTGCAAACTACGTTGTCCTCATTGAAGTCTAGGTGAATTAATTTACCAACGGCACCATTAACTAATCCATCACGTACATCAATATTTGTTGTGATAAGATAATACTTTCCTTTTACAAAAGTGATTTGGTAAGGTAATCCCCCAGTATCGATGACAGATTTTTTGTGTAGTTGTAATCTAAAAGAAGCTTCTTGTTCTTGATTTTTAGTTCCAGTTATTATATCCTTTGCTATTGAGATGACCTTATCTGGAGCTTCTTGCAAAATTTAATTGTTGTAACTGTCTACAGCGACATTAGTATAAAATAAACGAACACCATGAGGACTTAATTGTCGAGTTTCTTCTTTTTTGAAAAAGCTTGATTCGATAATTTTTAATTGAAACTGTTCCAAAACTTCACCATTGCCAATCTTTGTAAGTATTAATGAAAATGCAGCATTAGCCTGTCTCATGACTTGCGTTAGTTCAAAAAATTTAAGACCTCGCCATAAATGTAGACCAACCATTCTCGTTTTAATAGGTTTATATATCAATGTTGCCCTTACTGGTGGAGCCTGGCGTAAATCACCAATTAAAATGACGTCAATGCCGCCAAAATCAACATTATGATTTGCAGTAATTTGTTTTAAGCGCAAATCAATTTTGGCTAACAGTTCTGCGCTGATCATGCTGATTTCATCAATAATCAATACTTTGACGTATCTAAAAAGAGATCTGTACAAATGTAACATTTCAGATGATAATGGCAATAGTTTAGAAATCGAAATTTTAAGAGCAGTATGAACCGTAGTACCTACCATCAATTGCCACAGCAGCTTTACCAGTAGATGCGCAAACTATATACGAATTACAGTAACCATCATTGTCAGTATATCTATTGTAGATTTCCATTATAAGTTTAATAACAAGAGTCTTGCCACTGCCTGCTGGACCAGTGAAAAAAACTTGAAATGGTTGATGATTTTGAGTTTGAAGATGAAATATAATATGCATTAAAAGTTCTTTTTGCTCACTGTTAGCCGAACTCATTAAGTCGTAGAATTGTTGGGTATCCATTGTATTTTCTCTTTTTTTTGCAATAGCACCAAGTTTGCTGAGTGTAGCATTTCGTATATCAGCATTAACGACAGAATTAACATCCTGTAGTAATCTTGCATATGGATCTTCTTCAAATATGACATTAGCTTCGTTTCGCAACTGTTCGTCTTCATTGTCATCATCTCTACCTAACTGTCTACAAATTTCAAGTGTTTTTTCTAGGTCTAATTTAGATTCAAACTCTTTCCTACGTTCTAAAATCAAGTTTTTATTATCTTCATAAATTTGAATGAATTTATTTTCAGCAAGAACTTCATTATCTTCACTTCTAAAAGGAATGTGTAGTAACACCATTTCTCGTCTATAATCGTTGAAATTGTTAGCCATATCATAGTTACGGTATCTAATAACTCTAGACATTTTTCTTTTGTAGTACTCTCCGTGTTTTCTCATACTATAATTAGCAACAAATTGAGCTAATGTTAAATTTTCAAGAATTTCAGGCCTTTTTTCGTACTTATCGAACCAATTTTCCTTCCATATATTTGTACAGTCATCATCTAAATCACTTAGCTCTTTTAAAGTTTTTCTTATTCTCTGACGTTCTGTTGGGTATATCGTTGGTATGTAAACTGTTGCTACAGATGATTTAGCCATTGGTTTGCGTAATAAATACCAAGCTGCTTCTTGTGCAGGCATTTCCACAGCATGAAGTACATCAATACTTAATTTCTTTGTAATATCTACGATATCAAATTCAGGATTCTCGTCCATAGTTTGAATAATCATCCGTTGTAAATTACTTATGTTTATTAACATACTCAACTACATAAGCAGCACAGGCATATTCGTCTTGAATTATTTGAAAATCCATGTTAGATTGTAAGCAACGAAATACAAACGGGTTAAAAGTATTATGCCATTTTTCTAATGTTCATCGGAAACAATATTATTATGAGTATAGTAATGTTCAAAATTGTCGTAATCAAAATTTTCTAAATTAGTTTTAAGTAACTGGTAATGTCTTTAATACTCTTTAAACTGATCTGCAGAATAATCAGAATCTGTGTCTTTCATTGGCATTACTGTTATTGTGTTACGTGACGGTAAAAAAGGCGCTCCAAATCTACAGTTATCTTTTTTATTAGGATCCATTTTTTTATAGCATGTGAATGTGTGCTTATGTGTTTGCAGTTTAATATTTCCAGATGCGTCTGATTCGGATACTGAAACTAATTTCTCAACCATTTCATTAAAATCTTTGGAGTTATTTAATAAATTGACTGGAGCATTACCCAACCACAGAAGTATATGAGCATGAGGACTTCCACGGTGCTGGAATTCAATTCTCTTAAAGTAATATTTCACTCTATATCTACCAAATGGATTTCCTTTTTTTTTTGACTCCAATATTCTCAATAAAGAATTTACTAACTTATTAAAGTATATTGCACAAGTAACTGCATCTTCGTTTACTAATTGAGCTTTGTGTACATATAACATGGGTTTCAAGGACTCATCATTAATTTCTACTCCATTATTTTTTAGTTTGTACAACAATTTAAGCAAATCTGTCCATCATTAGCACTAAGTGTCATAAAAGCAGTTGGAGCTCCAAATTGTCTCATCGTTGCGAAAAGATCTTTTTTTCTGTCTACCCAATACCACGCAGAATTTGGTATACAACGAAGAAAAGCAAGATTACTTTCGATACAACTGTTAATGTAATCTTCAGATTGTATATTCTCTTTAGTAATTTTAGTATCATGTCCAACATGTTTAAATGCAACACTAACGGAACTGCTGACTCTCTGTCTCATGATTTTCGCCGCTACATACAGAAGATGTTATGGGTCAGTAGCACGGCGATCTGTACTCCTAAGTTCACCGGTAGCTTGCATAAATGAAGTAACATTGCATCCATCTTTATACGTTCGAAATTTTCCACCGTAAATAGTTGGAAATGAAAGCTCTTCGGCATATTTATCAAACAAAATACTACGTGGAACGCTTTTTTCGCCTGGTGCCATGTGCAACATTTTATTCTCGTCCCACATAAGAGTTTGTTGTTGAGCTGTGACATTATCTTCCATTTGAACATGTTCACTAATATTATCCATTTCTATTTCTGCATCAATTTGATAAGAATTTAGATTTGCTTCGTTTATTGTTATATTTTCATGAATATAAAGTGGAGTTGTTACTAGATAATCTAACCATTGTTTAATGTGTCCTTTATTAATAAGTCCATGAACATAACTAGTTTTGTGGATTAATTTCTTCTTAATGTGGACATAAAAACAGTGATCATCTTCAATATGTCTTGGCAATTGGTTCACCATTGTATTAACTTCTACAGGAACATTAATAATTTGTCCGTTAATGCCATATTGACCGTTAACATGTCTAAGTCTCCTTATTTGCATGAAGGGAATTCTCGGTGATACAAGTCGCTGCTCAATAAGATTAAATTTTGGCAAATGTAGTGGAATTTTTCCTTTATCCATAGCCTTCTTACACGTAGAGCATACTTGAACAGTAGTACCACGTACGTAATTCTGAAAAATAGAATAATTGTAACAAATAACAACAATAGTGAATTAAGCAATGTTGCACATTGTTATAATGTATCGAATCTTGTATAAAATAATTATATTACCAGCAATATCAATTGTAGAATATCATCATGTACGCCAGTAGTACTTTTTAAGTCATTTTTCCACCAAAGTCTATCGCAAACAGCACAAGAATGACCAAAAGATTTTTTTTTGAATATATTATAAAATTGCAGATGACCATGGATTTCTTCATAATATTTTGTATATTTTGGAACTGTATCATTAATGTCGTTCATTCCTACGTTGAAAGTAGCAATATCAGCATCATGTTCATCGTTATCATCTCCACTAAGTTTATCATCGGAGGATGTTAGGGAAGCTATTTTTTCTGTACGTTGATTTTCTGCTATATTATTAATATTCATTTCTTCAACTTGAATTAATGGTGTGAAATGTACGTCTCGAAGATGTAAATGTATGAAATTTTGCAAGTCATTGACTCTGAAATGAAGGAATTGTCTTTCTTCTATGTTAGTTCTAGTGTTAACATAGTAATTATGTACACAAACATTCTGATTATACACTTTAGCTTTCACTGCTGAGAATTGACCTCGCACCATTTGGATTGATGCATGAGTTGACGAAGGGCGAAGAAAGTAGTTGTTGCCTTATTTGTAAAGGTGACATTGAGAGATTCATAATTTTTATTATAGAAAAAAAAAAACAATTTCCATCTGTAGGAATGTTGACATCTTGATAATAGAGTCCTTGTGGCTGTGCACAGTTTCTAAACTGTTGATATGGAACGTGAAATAAATTTAGTATTGTCTTTGATTAACATAACTTTTATTCATTTAATAAAACACTATTTTGACCGGATTGAAGTTATGTATTATTATAAATTTATAACTATTTAACATAATTTTAAATTTATCCGACGTTTCTAGCACATTTAAATTCAATACACAAGAACATTAAATTTACTGTTGAACAAGAAAACAACAACCGTCTGCCCTTTTTAGACATTTTAATTATACGCAAAGCAGATGGCACACTAGGTCACACAATACACAGGAAGGCAACCCACACAGATAGGTACCTCAATGGTGAATCCCACCACCACCCTTCACAACTGCTTTCTGTCGGTAAATGTTTGTTTCAGAGAGCCCAACGTCTTTGTGATGATGCCCACCTCGAGGAGGAACTACAGCATGTCAAACAGGTGCTACACCGAAACAAGCTGCGCATACCCCGGCTGCATCACAAAAACAAAAACAAGACACAAACAGCTCCCCGCCAGCCAGCCTACTTGCCATATGTAAAGGGAGTTACAGATAGAATTAGCCGGATCCTAAAACGAGCTTCTATTCATACAATTTTCAAGCCGCACAAGAAGATTCAGCAATTCCTAAGACCAATCAAAAGTAACACCCCATTGCAAGATGCAGGTATATACAAACTGGATTGCGACTGTGGCCTGTCTTACATAGGGCAAACTAAACGCAATATGTCCAGCAGACTCAAAGAACACATTGCAGACATAAGACATAGACGACACACAAAATCAGCAGTCTGTGAACACATACTAGATAGGCCTAATCACTACATACGCTTTGACCAACCGAAAGTACTTGCGAAGGAGAAAAGATTCTTCCCAAGATTGGTACGCGAAGCCATTGAAATCAAAAAACACCCCAATTTCAATAGAGAAGACGGCCTAAAATTGTCAAATACCTGGGATCAAATAATATCCAAATTAAAATCTCAAAAAAGAAGCACAATCCGCGAAAGTAGAGGACACCGTAAGCCATTTTTGCCAAAACCCTCCATCTTTTAGTCGATACCAACTCCGGGGAAATAAATACAGATAATGCAACTTTCTCTGCAGCTGTGATACTTTTTGATATTCAACATCTTTTGTCTTCAGTCACCGTGACCACGCACGCTGTAAAGCACGCGAAACGTCGGATAAATTTAAAATTATGTTAAATAGTTGTAAATTTATAATAATACATAACTTCAATCCGGTCAAAATAGTGTTTTATTAAGTGAAATGAATTATTTTGCTGCGTTTCTTCTGCATTATTACGTATTTCTTCTGGATGTTTACATATTTTTGCACTGCAATTATCTCGTGATCTAAAATTAACCAATCAAAAAATATTGTTTAAATGACATCATATTTTACTCCAAAAAATATACCTTAGAAAGATAAAAAAAAAAAACATACTTACACATCTGAATGTTGATTTAAAGTGTTTAAAGCCTGAAATTTCTTTTTCCTATCGTAACATCCTTTATTTCTCTGTTTATCAGTTTTAGGTATTTTTTTACTTTTTTGTTTCTTCAATTTCTGCGCTTCATAATATTTATTTCTTCTTTCTGCATCAGTTTTAGGTTTTTTGGCTGGTAATTGATCAGTCTCACTACATTCATCTGATCTCTCTGCAGTTATGTTTTGTATCATTGTATTTTGTAATTTCTTTCTCTCACGATATTCTCTACATCTTTGTGCATTTGTCTTTTTCCTTTTCCTTGATGTTATAGTTTGTACCTCAGTAGTCGATGCTTTAGTTGATTCAAACATTTATATATATATATATACATATATATATATGTACTCTGTCTGTCTATTCTTTCATACACGTCATAGATGCGCGGGACTTTGTAAACACAACAGAGTGTATAATGTATATATATTGTTAGCGGACTAACGTGTTACATATTCATTGCACTCCCTTTGCCCCGCATACCCAATACAAGTCACCTCTTACGAAACTACGCTATATATAAGGAAAGGGACAAGAGAACCAAGAGCTTTTTGATCGGATACCTCATATCGGACCGGTCAAGTCTCAAGTAGTTAAGTTTATTATATAATATATTTATCGTGCACCTAATATCGGGCCGATTAAATAATTGTATTTAGTTAAGTTTATTATTTGTAAAAGTAATTAATTAAAGTAATATTAATATATTTTGGTTTTTTTTTGGAACCCACCGCTGGCCCTCACTTAATTGGCGCAGTCGGTAGGATCGTCGAGTCAGTGCGCGTACTAAGTAATATACTCCGTAGATCGCCTACGTAGAGTACGCGAACTAATAGACTTCCAAGTTTTAATCGACGATTCACAAGAACCGAGGACAGCGGACCACACACGGCGCATCCAGAAATCGATGACAAAAGGTGCCACCATCGTCGAAATGCATATGTAAGTTACACATTTCTTAACGATTGGTTGTTACATTCCTGTGTGTTCCCAAATCATCCAAAATTTTCCATCCTAGGAAAAACCGGGGAATCGAAGCCCCAAGAGTTGCCTCTTGCATCGAGCTGAGAGATCGCAATAGACATTTAGATAATTTAGAAGATATTTTAGAAGATAAAATGGAGCGCGAAGCTTCCCTTGAGAATTTTTCAATTGCACAAGATGCATTATTAGATAGGATTTTAAGAGCTTTAAAATTTGTGCCGAACTTTGACGGAAGTGCGTGTAATTTAACTAGATTTTTGAACTTATGTGACACCTTAGTAGTCACTTATGCCAAGCCAAGTCCGGGTAATGATGTTACGAATTAAGCATTAATTAATGGAATAATTAATAAAATAACTGGCGCTGCCATCAGAGCCCTATCAACAAATGGGGCCCCTCAAAATTGGAGTGGCATAAGAAGCACTCTAATTAATAGCTTCTCAGATCACAGAGATGAGTCTACTCTTTATACTGATTTGTCGCAATTAACTCAAGGATCAGATAGCCCACATATATTTTATGAGCGTATACAAAATTTATTGAGTACAATCATTACATATGTAGAAATTCATGATAAAATAGACACAACTATTCAGGCTAAACGTAATTTATACAATAGCCTCGCGTTAAAAACGTATCTAAAAGGTTTGGAGGAACCTCTGGGCTCACGCATACGATGTATGAGACCAGAAACATTAGAAGTGGCGTTGCAATATGCAAAAGACGAGATGAACATAATTTACTTGCAAAACAAAAATACGAAGAGACAAAATTTTACACCTCAAATATCTAGCTCGCCTACTCTAAAACCTTATAGATACGATATTAATCCACAGTATCAAAAACCTTTTAACTTGCCAAGATTAAATAATGGTCAACATTTTAATAACAATTCATATAAGCCTCATATGTACCATCAGCAAGGTCCTTCAAGGACCCAACAAATGTTTAAAGCTTTGCCAAGGTCGAATATGTCTACGGGATTTAGAATTCCACCCCGTCAACCAATGCCTATGAAAAATTACCCTCAACCCATGAGTGGTATTAGTCACCCTGCTGCTCGAGTTTTACCACCTACTCAGACTGGACATGACTGGAGGATTCATGGTAATCCACCCCTAACAATTACTTTAAAACTCGACAGATTAATAATAACGAATTAAATGACCCTTATCTCTATAGCGACTATGACTATGACAATGACGAATATCCATGTGACTTTCAACAATATGACCCTAACTACTTACCATATGACTGTTCAACAACCGATGAATATAATATAACGGAGTTCACTGAACAACCGGATACCATAAATTCTGAAAACAACGTGCCAGAACCTTCCAAACAGGATTTTCCAAAGGATCGAAAGATAGTTTTCCCCGAATAGAGTTAAATATACAAAATCAAAGACAATTACCATTTATTCAAGTTCTAATTCACCCAGATCTCCCACCATTAAAATTTCTAATTGATACAGGTGCGAATCAATCTTTTATAAGACCCGAAGCTATAGATACTTACTTTCCAAATTTTCCTTTAAACTTCGAACCATTTATTGTTTCAAACGTGCATGCTACTACCAAGAATGATTATACAATATATATACCGTGTTTCAAAGAATTCAAAGACAATGCATGGATAAAATTATTCGTGTATAAATTCCATAATTATTTCGATGGACTAATTGGTTGTGATCTTCTTCAAAAATGGTCGGCAAAAATTGATTTAGAATCTAGAAAATTAATTACGAAGTTTGCATCTAACCCCCTTCATATGTACATGTCCAATAGTGTGAATTTATGTGAAGCTATAATTCCAGCTAATTCTTCGAAATTAATACGTGTGCCTACTTCTATATCCAACGGTGATATATGTATTCAAGATCAAAAAGTCGGGAAATGTTACATAAACGAATGCATAACCACGGCAAATAATCATCACGCAATTTTAGAAATCTCTAATCCCACAAACAGTGATATTATAATTTCTTTAACGGAACCCATTAAAGCTCATATATTTAATGAACAAGTGTCATATGATACTTTCAATAACAATGCCCGAGCTCGCGACGTCTTATCGCGTTTGCGCATAGATCATTTAAACGCAGAGGAGACAGCTAATATAAAAAGTATTTGTAGACAGTATTCAGACATTTTTCATCTTGAACACGAACCTTTGACATTTACTAATAAAATCAAACACTGTATTAATACGACCGATGAATTGCCTGTTCATAGTAAAACCTATAGATATCCATATATACATCGTGACGAGGTTCAAAATCAAATAAAAAACATGTTAGATCAAGGTATAATTAGACCTTCTACCTCCGCATGGAGTGCTCCTATATGGATAGTGCCAAAGAAAAGTGACGCATCTGGAAAAGTTAAGTGGCGATTAGTCATTGACTTTCGGAAGTTAAATGATAAAACGATTGACGACAAGTATCCGATTCCAAATATTACAGACATTCTAGATAAATTAGGTAAATGCCAATATTTCTGTACATTAGATTTGGCTAGTGGCTTCCATCAAGTGGAGATGTCATCCAAAGACATTCACAAAACTGCATTTAGCGTAGAGCATGGTCATTACGAATTCCTTCGAATGCCCATGGGCCTAAAAAATTCTCCATCTACTTTTCAACGTGTTATGGACAATGTTCTTCAAGGTCTAGTTAATAGGATATGTGTAATTTATCTCGATGACATTTTAGTGTTTGGTACCTCCCTTCAGGAAATGATGACTAATCTTAAAGAAGTATTTCAACGCTTAAGAGATTCTAACTTTAAAATCCAAATGGATAAATCCGAATTCCTTAAACGAGAAACCCCTTATTTAGGTCATATAATTACGACCGAAGGTGTTAAACCTAACCCAGATAAGATCAAGGCCATAGCAAATTATCCCATACCAAAAACAACAAAGCAAATTAAAGGTTTTTTAGGACTATTAGGTTACTATAGAAAATTTATTTCTGATTTCGCAAAAATCACTAAACCTCTTACATCATGTCTAAAAAAAGGCGCTACTATTACCTTATCTCCGGAATATATCAAATGTTTCGAACACTGCAAAACTTTATTAATGAATGATCCTATCCTACAGTACCCCGATTTTACAAAAGATTTCATACTAACGACAGACGCATCAAATATCGCATTAGGAGCCGTTTTATCCCAAGGTTCAATAGGTAGCGATAGACCCATAGCATACGCATCCAGGACTCTAAATACTAGTGAACAAAATTATTCAACAATAGAGAAAGAGTTATTCGCCATAGTTTGGGCTACTAAGTATTTCAGGCCATACCTTTTTGGGCGTAAGTTTCGAATTGTCACCGACCATAAGCCTTTGCAATGGCTTATGAATTTAAAGGAGCCAAATTCCCGTTTAACAAGGTGGAAACTAAAACTCGCAGAGTACGATTTTACTGTAATATATAAAAAGGGTAAGTGTAATACGAACGCTGACGCGCTATCGCGTATTGAAATACACAATGACGAAGCTATGTCCCTAATAGTTAATACGTCACGGGACCCGCGTCGTCATAGTACCTCATCGACACTTACAGCAGCCTCACAGAATAGCAAATCTTCCTCATCCACTCTGACAGCACCTGAAACACGCGAATTCCAATCACCACAAAGTTCGTCGCATACTGAAACCGCTCATACTAGCTCTGAAAATCCCATTCTTGAGATTCCTATTAGCGATGACCCTTTAAATAAATTCCGCAGACAGATATTAATTAATATAGTTAATCACTTACCTAGAGTGAAGCCCGTCATTAGTAAACCATTCGAAAAATTCTCTCTCATTTCAGTTCAAGTTCATGTAGACAACCTAGAACAAGGAACTATCGACCTTATTAAAAAATATGTTGATCCAAATATCCGTACAGCAATTTTAGTCCAGCCAATAGATAGAATGCTTCATATTGTTCCTATTATTCAAAGAACTTTTAGAAGTTCCTCTATGAAAATATTACTCGTCAAACGGCAGACTGAGAACGTATCAGATTATCTAAACCAACAGGATACTATTAGGAAATATCACGAAGGTAAAACCAACCACCGTGGTATCAATGAGACATATAACTCTTTGTCACAACGTTATTTTTGGCCTAATATGAAATCAGATATAACAGAATATATAAATCGATGTTCAGTATGTAATTGTGCGAAATACGATCGCAATCCCATACAGCAACAGTTTAAAATTGTACCTCCGCCATCAAAACTCTTTGACATGCTACATGTAGATGTATTAACTATAGAACAAGAAAAATATTTAACTTTAATAGACGCATTTTCCAGATATGCACAGGCGT